AAAGGGCTGAGCTGCCAAGACTTGACTCAAGCAGGCTGCGCAACGACTCGACCACCACCACCACCACCACCACCACCACCACCACCACCACGACCACGACCACGACCACGACCACCACCACGACCACCACCACCACCACAACCACCGACACCACCATTACCAGTATCACCAGCGCTGCGACGACGACTACGGCGAGCATTAGTCACCGGTAGTACTGGAGCACTACCTACCTTTTTTCTTATTCTTAGAAATATGATTATGTTTATAAGTGTTACTAGAACGATATTGTTGGTGCTACGGACACCACCACGCATCGAAGAGCACTTCGGAGACAGTTGAAAGTGCCACCAGTGTTAGTATCCTTATTGGCATGATTGCTCGGCTTCTACTTCTGTGATGTTGATAGTGCTCGTGGTCGTTCCTATCATCATGTTTTTTGGTATCATGGGCATCATTTCTGTTGTCGGTCTTGCCGTGTTTCCAGCATTGCCGAGATGCCTTCCCGGCCATGCCCGAATTCCTGCGACACTTTTGTGTATTTGCCGCCGGAGGGCAGCTGCCTCCCGGCTTGCTTTGGGAAGAACTCGGATCGACCATCCAATGAAGAGCATCTGGTAGTACACCTGCCGCGGGTAAGTCAAGCGCAGCCAAAGGTGAAGTGCACGTACATTGAGATCCCTCAGGTTGCAGAGACCCTTGCCGCTGTGCTTTCGAAACCCCGATGGATGTGGGGCTGCGAGATGGGTGCAAACGAGTTTGGCGTTGTCGGCGGCAACGAGGCCGTGGACACCCGAGCTTCTGAGGAGCTTGGGTCGGATTCGCGGCTTCTGGGGATGGACTTGCTCCGACTCTCTCTGGAGCGCTCGAAGACGGCTCGTGAGGCGATGCAGACCTGCGCCGGGCTCCTGGAAGCTCACGGGCAAGGTGGAGGATGTGCGGAAGATGATCCGGGATGGACCTATGAGAATGGCTTTATCTTTTCGGACTCCTCCGAGGCCTTCGTGTTGGAGACGGCTGGCACGTCCTGGTGGGTTGCAGAGAGAGTGCCCAGAGGGAGCCGGAGGAACATCTCAAATGGGATCTCTATTCGCAGCAACATCTACGCCATCCATCCTGGACTCAAGGAACACTGCAAGTCCAGAGGGTGGTGGGATGGCCAGGAGGCCTTTGACTTCAAAGCGGTCATGACAGGAAGGGCTTCGACCGCCGCGCTGGAGCCAAGGGGCCGTGAGGCAGCAGGCGCTCGAATGCTGGAGGCTTTGGCAGGAGTAACAGAGGCTTCTCGCTGCTCCCCGAACGATCTGGTGAGACAGATGGCAGCTATACTGCGGGATGAGAGGTCGGGTATATGCTTCCGGGACCTGCATGGCTTTAATTCCACGGGGAGCCAGGTGTCATTACTGGAAGGCCAAGCTGGTCTCCACTTCTTCACCTGCTGCAGTGATCCGCTGGTGGCCGCCTACAAGCGCTTTGATTTCCGAGATTCCTCCAAGGCTGAACTTTTGGGGGACTTGAGTCTGCAACTTTGGCAGCTGCGGCGGAAGCTGGCCTTGCAAAGGGCTCCCCTGCCTGGACTCCTGGAGTTCCTGGCCCTCCTTGAGCAGAAGGCGATGGATGGCACGGCTTCCATGGTAGATCTGCTGCAGGAAGAGCTCGCCATGCTACAGCAACTGGTGCCAAGCTGAAAGCGCCGGGCTCTGGAGCTATGAGTCTCGGGCTTTCGCCTCAGCCGGGCTTACAACTTCTGGCACGGCACACAACCTAACCCTGCATTCACGTTTATAGCCATGTGTTTTAGTGAAGGAATGGTCTGTTGTGCTTGGCTCGATGACCTCTGGGTCGCATGTGGACTCCCCACGGATGCGGCACGCCATGTACTCTCGCAGCGGATGGGTGTCTGTAAACAACAAACTGCACGAAAGCACCCGCGTTAGACACTTGTACATGTGCAGGGAACACACAGAGCAACATGTTGTGAATTAGTCACTGGTACGTATATCTTCTGAATCTACTACCGCTTCACTCTGTCGAACTCTTCGTGTTCTTGCATGCCTAGTCCAAAGATGACGGCCCCAAACTTGCCCAACACTACTACAGACGGGAGGCGTCTGCAGACCCCGCAGCCTGCAATGACTGGGACGACCCGCTCGAGGATGAGGCGCAACCGTCGAAGCTCGGGGCTCCGTTCGCCCAGCCGCCGTTGCGAGGCCCTAAGTAGTTCCTTTTTGTGGTTCATATCTAGAATCCTACAAGGTAATCCCAAAAAGGAACTACTTAGGGGCCTATGGGCAGGTGTTGAGAGCAGAGCAGCTGGAAGTGCTCTCCAACTTAGGGCGATGCCGCTACCAGGACTCGGGGCAGGTTATAATTCAAGGATGTAAGAACGAGGATTGCTTGCACCTCACACAGGGTGCCAGGGGGCACTTGAAATGAAAAAGTGCCTTGTGTAGTGCTTCACTGTGCTCCACACTCCGAAGCTGCCCCAATGTTGCTGAAGAGAGCCGTCCAGGACACGGCCCAGCACATCATGAAGCATTTTGAGGAGACCTCCAGGCGAGGCGGGTGGTGCCCGGAGGGTCAGAATTTTGATGCGCTTCAAACAGTTCGCCTCTGGTGGAGACCTGGTGCTTGAAGGTTGGGACAGCAAGGCGTCGTGCCCCAGCGGGTCTTCGAGAAGAAGATGACGTGGATGCCTCACTCGAAAGCCTCTGAGTTGTCTCGGAGTTTTCTGCGGCAGCATCCGTCGTTCGAGCCCTCACGGTAACCCTCTTAGAACTCCTTCATAGTAACCATTTCTAGAAGCTTGGCTTGCTTTCCGAGGTGGCTGGTTTACATGATGGGGGCCTTAGTTGGTGGGCATGCCTCCGCCAAGGCCGGTCTAGAAGGGCGCCTTCTTCTTTTCTACTTTAGGTTGTTGTAGCATATCATAGTACATTTGTTGCGGCATATCAATGTATTTTTTTAATAATGGTGTTTTTTTGCCATCGCATACTGTAGTAACACTGTGGTATACTTCTGGTCTTTGTGCGAGCGTGCCTTCACCTGCAAGGCCAACCGGACAGACACGGACTGCGCCCCCACGCACGTGGTGAATGGTCGCTCGAGCACCCTTGCATTCCAGCAAGAAGAAAGGAGGGAACCCTGAGCACTCATCCTGACACATCATAGGAAGATAGAATGGGGCGATGGCTATGGCGGTGACGACGGCAAGGACATTGCACATGCTGATGACGATGACATTGACTACCATGATGATGCTGCTGCTGATGATGCTGATGATGCTGCCGCTGTTGTTGTGGTGAAGTTGATATCGAGAACGGTAGCAACCATCGTTTCGATGTCGGTGGTGGCCATGATGATAATCAATGATAATCCTGTCGCCGCGTGGTTGTTGATGATGATGAGGGCATGGTGTTTGACATACTCGTTCACCTCATCAAAGGTCACCAGCGTTATAAGCCGAGCGCCGGAGCATGTAGGATGATACTTCGCCGACAAGTGGTCTCCCGTACTAGATGTATAAGCCGCGAAGTTCTGTGGATGCCACAAGCAGAGTCAGCACAGGTGATTGCTGTTGCTGTCATGTGGCCCTCAAGGATTCCTTGTGCTTGGATGCACGGCGATTCAGCCAGGCGAGCTGGCCGGGCGCATCTTCCGTCTGGTGAACTTGACGGACTGCACAACATGTGCCACCAGGGGCGGCCGCGTCGTGATGTTTCACGTGCCAAGTGGAGTGCGCTGTGTTGGCTGTTTGCAGATGCAATCCATGTTACGATGGCCAGGATGACTACGATGATAGCCAACTACCAATAGAAGCTTGAGCATTTCGTTTACTGTTGCTGCTCTTTTTTCTTGCGTCTTTCTACATGATGATTACGATTTTGCTGACATTCGGTCTCAACCGACATAACTACGGAGGCCATGGCCGACGGGACGCGCGCACGGGGAGTTTACAGTCGATCATCGCCAAGCTCCAATATCGATAGATAGTGTATTGAGCCAGAGGGGAGCAGTATGCTAGTCTGGCACAGTGTGTTGGCTGTCTGCTCCTACTCATTGTGTCCGTGACCCGATGGCATAAGCTGTGTCAAAGCAAAGGACACACAGGGTTGAGAGTCAACGGCATGTGTCAGGACCAGCAGAAGGAGACATCCGAGGGCTTAGAGCTTGCGTGCGCATGGCTGTGACTGGTGTCAATCCAGCATACAGAATTTGTGGCCGCAGTCTTCCAGGTACTTGTACTTCTTGGAGCAGTTCAGGAAGGTGTATATTGGCGAGCATGCCAAGCAGGTGGTTCAGCAGCAGGCGCGGCTCATGTCGATGTTGTCCTGCTTCATTCCCTGAATTTCGTTTCTGACACTCGGCACAGCCCTAACGGCTGCATGACACGCAGCAAAGATTGCACTCAGTGATGTGTGTGTGTGTGTCTGTGTGTTGAAGTTGTTGCGAGGTCAACGAACGCCTGGCAACAGTTCTCGGTCTAGAGGACGAGAATGCGGTGAGCACCTCATCCTTCTTAACTGCCTTCAGTGGCAGGAAGCTCATTTACAGCCGAAAGAGAGCCAGTGTAGTCCTCCAAACGGAGGCTCGGACAAGAACCCTCTTGCCAAGAGCTTGTAGACCTCGGAAGGACGATGGCGACCGTGAGGCTGCCGTTATTGATGACATTGTGTTGTTGACGATGGTAATACAGATGGCGATCGGGCGACTGCCGGTGTGGATGATGGGAGCTGTAATGATGGAGGTTGTCGAAGCCGCGATCATGTCAGGCTGCTGGTGATGACACATGCAAGCTTTTGGGTGGCGGTTGTGCTGGCTGGATGGTGGTAGCAGCGGTCTTGGAGGTCGATTCTAGCTCCGATATGTATGTGTGTGTGTGTGTTGGCTATTCTCTGCTGCTGCATCTAAACCCTAAACTTTCTAAACCCTAAACCCTTATGCCTGCAGAGCTCGGTCAAGGTCCTGGGCCTTCTCATCAACAAAATTGGATGGGTGCTCAGCACGGCCAGAAGCGTCCCCGGGGTAGGAAATGCCCATTACCACCGGGCCGGTGTTGCCTTTAGGTTAGATGATTTGTGCGTGTTGTCGGCAAAGTGTGGTGGCATCAACACATCGCAAGATTTGCATGGCGAGTGTCACTTGCAAGGCAACAACCTCCAGCAACGGTTTCAGCTTGAGATTGTGGTGAAGAAGACGCTCGCCTGAGCCCAAGTGCTTGCGCCGTGTCCTGTCTCGGCTCGCGACCACCCCCGGCAATGCGGGCAACCAGTCTCGTTCTAGAGGACGGACAACTCGCGGGCTTTGTCAATGCATGGCCTCATGCGGCTTTGTCGTCTGGTGCAAGTCTTAAGGTGCTCAGTTTCTGCACTGGTAGCAGTCTGAAGTCAAGGCGCTGTTCCACGAGCTTGCGGCTGGCATCAATATCGTGCAAGTCCTCAGCCATGCAGAGCACCAGGAATCAGCAAAGTGAATGTAGAGAGAATCCTCAGAAGTTGAACGAATGTCGATCATTTGTGCTCTCCGGGCTTGAGCAATGTATGCTCTAGGAAGTTGGAATGCTCGCTCGCTCTCTCTCTCTCTCTCTCTCTCTCTCTCTCTCGTGTCGTGTCTGTTTTTGTGTGTACTGTATCAGTAACGGAAACAAGGAACCCCAAATTCAGAAATCAGCAGCTATGGTGATGGGTTATAGAAATCTTGGCAGAGCGAGGTGCACACATCGGACCGATCTCCTCACCTAATTGTCTCCGGCCGACTGCTTCTTAAGAACGACATGGTCAAGTGCCCGCGGTGGAAGGCTGAATGGAGAATTTAAGGAACTGAGTGTTCTGGCTTCTGATTGTTCACGCTACTGCTTGTGGTGCATTGCCAGGTACATCCTCAGCAACCATGCTTCTCCGCAGTTTGGGTTTCTGAGCGATGCTCAGGATTTCCTTCTGTCCATCGTCCCCATGCGTGCAGTCGTTTGCAGTTTCCTGCTTCTTGCTCGTGCTGGTGCTCAGGGCCCACAGCCTGCAGTATGGCAAGTGCGCCGATGGCTAGGTCTATGGGGTACATGTGGGCATCTGTACGGCTCGTCAGGTTGAGAAGCCAGGGTGGGTGCGGGTTTAGGAGTTTACAGTGTTTGAGCTCCAGGCACATGTCCGCACTGACAACACAGGAACCTTTTCCTTGCCATACTTACTGGCAGCGAGGAGGGGAAGACCCGTCCTGTCGAAAGTTTGTCGAGCGAAACACGGAAGGGACAAAATGGCTCACGGTATGTGAAGGTCAGCAAAAGCTGACAAATCATTAATGAGATCCCCGCACATCTCTGTGCGGGCAAAAGTCCAAGATTGTGTTCTACACCGTCCTGTGATGTCTTAGAAGGGAAGATATGGGAATCGGAATCTGAGCCCTAAACCCTAAACCCTAAACCTTAAACCCTAAACCCTAAACTCCTAAACCTCAGACACTCACTGATGTCATCTCCCGGCTTTTTGCCTCACTGGACCTGTCCCAGGGCAATGAGTTCCCTCTAAGGCCTCCTGTGCTAAACCTAGGGTTTTGTCCGTGGTTCCGAAGGCAAGCAGCCTGATGCGTCAAAAAGCCAGAGGGGATGCGTCTTCAGGTACCGAACCATGTACTATCACACCTTGGGCAAGCTGCTCTTCATGGACATCAGAGACAACAAGGAGGCCACAGCTGCTAAACCCTAAACCCTAAACCCTAAACCCTAAACCCTGCCTGCGGAGCATTCTTGCCACGCGTGTGATGTCGCGTAAGAGCGCTCGCGAGGCCTTCGAGAAGTTCATGGAGCCTCAAGGCGGGGTGTGAGAGAGCTTATGAGATAAATCCCTAGACCCCAAGCCCTAAACTTTCCTACACCTTGGAACCCAAGAAGATTGAATGCCCTGCTTGGTATCAGCCTCAGAGTTGAGCCTCTTGAGGTCACATTCTGACGTCGCTTTGGCAGCAGAGCTGCCAGAATCCACAGTATCTTCGGCAGGCAGGGCCTTTCAAGCTTGAAGATAAGTTCCATGCGAGTTGCCTAAGGGTTGTTTGAAACTGGTCTCATTTTTGTTGGGATCTCTAGGCTGTTATCACCATGCAAAGGCTTCCAGTGTGACTGTATTCATACCGCCAGTGTTAGAATTATCATGATGCCAGCTGTGCTCTACCCTTATACACTTATACCTCAACGCCAAACCCTAAAACCCGAACCTGCCAAAGCCCCCCTAAACCCTAAACCCTAAACCCTACACCCTAAACCCTAAACCCTAAGATGAGTTTCTGGGTGAGCCGGAAGGATTCGATCAAGCCAGCCCTGGTTGGCCTCTGCCGAGACTTGCGGGGAATTGGTGGGAAGCTGAGATGGGCAGTATAATATAATTCTATAAGTGAGGCTTGAGGCTCCTTGGCGCACGGCCGTGTACTGCGTGTAATGCTTTCCCGAACGTTGATGCAAGAACTTGGCGTGACTCATGACGCCCAGGGCTTGCGTGCAGCAGTTGCGAGTGACGGCCCAAGAGGGGCAAGTGAGGCTGGTTTGTGTATGTGCTGCCTGGACACTCTGCAGTAGAACTCCGGTGACGCTCGAAGCCAGCCTGTGCCTAGAGCGTCAATGAGGCCTTACTCGATGCTGTTCGACTGGCTCGTGGACAACCCGAAGAATCCGTCGGCGAACAGGGCTGGCGACTTTGACTCCGTGCTCGGAGGGGCAACCGGTCATATGGTCATACTGGGTTCAAGAGTTCCCTTACCCTACCAACATGGGACCCGTTCTCAACATTCATGGGCCCTTGTGGTGATTTTGATGTAGGGTGTTCCATTCATGGGGCCGCTATGAAGAGAGCCTGCGAGTTCAAGGTCAACCTCTTCTCCAGAGCTCTCGATGTTTGGTGGGACGATCCAGAGGCACCTCGTCAGCTTCCGAATAAGTCCCTGCAACGATTCCTTGTTGGCACTGCGCTGGATCTGCGTCAGCATGGGCATAACCCTAAACCCCAAACCCTAAACCCTAAACCCTAATTATTGAAAGGCGGCTGGGTTGCCCATGGCCGAAGGTCACGACGCCGCTGCTGAAGTTTATGGCCGAGTTCGTGCATAACAAGGCAGCGCTGCAGCCTTCACACTGCCTCGTAGAGTAGTAGAGTTCAAAAGAAGACCTTCTGCACCGTGATGTCGTGCCTGCAGTCGCAGCGGATTACCTTCGATCAGTCCTCGCCCAACGGTCCGCGAACTTAGAGTTTCGACTCCTCAACGAGTTGCCGCCATTGGTGACGCAGGAGGGCCATTTCTGGGATTTGTACTGAGCTTCTCCCGTAGGTCACACTATGTTTCATGTTGTATTGTGTCTCCGCCACTACTCTTCCTGCCAGCAAAGTCGGGTTGCACATTTTCGCTTCGAAGGTGTTCCTGGACATTGTGCTGTGACTTTTTATGTGCATGAACACAAACAGTAGCAGCACAAAGTGCATGGTTGGGGACGAATCTGGCTGTCTCCTGCCTACCCTCTCTAATGCAATACCCGTCACTACAACTCGTATGACTACACTGTTTTCTCAGTGTCTGTCACGTGACCTGGACAGCTCTTGGAAGCTACGAAGCAAGAATTGGCATCACCATTCTATGAGCTCAGCTATTGAGTCCTGAGGCACGAGTCTGCAGAGGGCTTTCTTATCAAAACGACTGCAAGAGGTCGCAGAGACACGAACCCTGTCTCAGAGGCTCGCCTCTTCCCATCGGATCTCACATATTTCCTCCGTACCCGTCGCATGTATTCCACGGCTGCTTTGATTGAATGGCAGAGATCATGAGCCTGAGTGAGGTATACTTCTCTTCAGGGAGGCCTCCGCGATCCTGGTGACCTATGGAACCAGGATACTCCAGCGAACCCAGCCGAAATCTCAAATTGGCGTTGCGGCTTAGACTGTGCATAGCGGTCGTGGAAGCAGTAGTCTCCAGCCGGCGCATGAGCACTAATGTGTGGACTGCCGTGGGCGATCATCTGACTGTGCAGATCACCTACATGGTTACTATACGTTTCTACAATGACGCTTACCCTTTGCTGTAACGATTACCACTGCTACAGCCCTTCATCCGAAACCGTAGCTGCAGCGTCGCTGAGGTTCCGCGACGTGTACATAGAGAAGTACAAGGGCATTGGCGTATGCTCTTGGCTCAGTCTCTAAACGAGCCGTGTTAAAGGCAGAAGCGTGGAAGGAAATAGAAGCGAAGGTTTTGGACATATTAAGGTGGTAACAGATGTATCAGTAGCTCGCTTATACAGTGCGCCTGCATTGTGCCGGGCGATGCTTTGGCCTAGGTCTGGACATGTTCTCCCACGCTCTTCACGGGTGCCTGGCTTTTCAGCGCAACAGTTGTACACGTTGACTCCTGCTGGCTGCAGGAACTACACAAATTTTGGAGTCTTTGAGCTGTACAGTGTACCTCTCTCAGCTTTGACTGTGCAGTTTTGAGCACACTGATGTTGCGATGCTTGTGAGAACTGAGGACAATTCGCTCTCAAACTCCATGGCGCTAGCCTTGCGCCTCTGCCTCTTGGTGACATGGTGCTGCTTCTGAAAGTCTCCATCTGTGAGATCATGGTTGTAACCAGTGCAAAAAAAAGCCAGTGCTGACACCCATGCCCACATTGCAGCGGTCAGGCTTAGCCATACCGCTGCAGGACCGGCTCCTGTCAGTGTTTCTTACAGAAGAACAGGAGTATCCGTCACATGCCTAAGCACGGACTTGCTTTCCGCCGTAGCTTGGTGCTTGTGATTGCGATGTGGGTAGCTCGCACGATGCAGGGTCCCTATTTTCATTCCCACCAAAGCTGCCATGATCATGAAGACGATGATGATGATGATGATGATGATGGTGCTGATTGTGCTGATCAACCTGCCGGCCTGCAGGAGCTGAATGCATACCTCAAAGCCCTGAAGCCGTACTACTACTTCGTGGAGCCCCGCGGCAAAAAATTGGTTCTGCAACTGCTTCAGAAACCTCGCTCCTTGCGTTGAACGTCGGATGTGTGAGGTTGGCTACTCGTGGCCACATGTCGAAGGCAAGAGCTGCCACGCTTTGTAGGTGTTTTCAGTGCGATCTTCTGTGGATGCAGGTTATGGAGTTGGATTCGGCCATGCTCACGTCGCTGATGCAGAGTGTAGAAGAAGGCCCGCTGCTGGTAGTGAGATCTCGTAGAAGGGCTTGATGTAGGAGCATAGATACTGACAGCGCGTCTCTTCTGCACGGTGGAATCAGGCAAGGTCTCGCATGCCCCGAGAATGCACTGTGAGCGTAGTCTGACCACAGTCGCGTAGGGTTACGCTAACCTGTGTTTCACTCATCATTGTTTCCATGGCGCGAGTCTCTTCTTTTTCAATCCGTTTGAAAAGATCACCCGAAGCACAGCTTGCACAATCTCTGCTTGGCCGATTTCTTTGGTGCAAAACCTAGGCTCTGCCGCTTTCTTGCACAGAGTAGATGCGAGTAGACGTGGTACTAGTTATGCAGCAGAAGGAATTGCAGCAACTGAACCCTCGATGCCAGAAAGCGATGCTGAGCATTTGCAAGCATTACAAGCGCCCTGCGTCGAATCGAAGCACTACTGTCTGAAACTGCCCAAGCACCATCACGGACGTATGCGACACCTCAACGGGGGTGGATGGGGAACACATGGACTGCAGCTGGTCTCTTGCCTTCGGAAACTTCAAGGAAGATGCTGAGCCAGTATGAGCCCTACTGGCAAGCATACTTCTGAGGCATGTTGACCACTTGCGCCTTTTGGGCATCTGAACTGAACTGTAGCTCAGGGCAGATGGCACAGTTTTAGTAGTGGTGCTCCTAGACTTATACACTTCCTGCACGCAGTTCCCAGTGCAGCATAGGCGCACGCGCACGCACGCGCGCACGCACACACACACACACCACACACACACACACACACACACGCATACACTCACTGCAAAGTGTCCTAAGCCCCTTGATGACGATGACACAAGGGTGCAGACATGTCGGCGAAGTTCCCAGAGAGCCCAATACCCCTTAATTAAGGAATATACCTTAAATCATAATATGAAGGCCCCTATAATTTAAGGTATCTTCCCTAATTAAGGGTTATTGGGCTCTCTGGGTTTCCCAACTTTAAGCCGCGTCACCGCTGTGGCCTCAAACTTGGCCCGTTTCCTTGGCAGGCCTCCTCTCTTTTGAGACCGGTGTGCAGATGCAAAGCTGTGCAGTTGTCGAGATCCCGGCAAGTTTGTCTAAACAGGGGGAAGAGCTGTTCCTTTAGGGATCGTAAGCTGCCTCAGCCTTTCAAAGAGCAAGCAGGATCCTGCGAGAGTGTATAAGGGGGTCCTTGAGCCCCTGAAGGGGGGGTCCTAGTTCAGAACCGATCTGGCTGGAACCGGCATCCTGCCAGGACAATGTGATCTCGTACTTCCACTCACAGCTCACTGGGAAGACCACCCCCGAACAGGACTCGCGATGCCTCGAATCAGGGTTTTGGGGATGCGAGGGAAGACGAGGGGAGTGAGAGCGACTGTCAGGAGCGCGTTCGACGCTACCTGCAGGAGGCCAGAATGTCCTGGCAAGAGCTGTCTCGCGTCACGATCGCAGAACCGACATGAGAGTCCACGAGTTCTTGCATTGGAGGCACCTCATTGCCTGCAGAAGATCCTTCACCTCATGTTCCAACTGGTCATGACAGGCGCGAGGAAGCAGAAGCAGGGAGTGTGTTTGCAAAGACTTAGTGCAAAGTAGTGTCTACATGCACCCTAAAGGTTCCTTCATTTGGGAAGTGGGTCGAAGACACTCGTTCGAACTTGCGGCTTCCAAGAGCCATCATCAGCTTCTCGCTTTTACACCGTGGCCCCCCCCCCGCCACAACAGGTGCGTCACTTATGAACGTCTCGGGAAGTGGCTTGAACATTCAAGAGACGACACCTGTCAGGTGAGTTCAGCTCTATGTGGTCGATAAGCCGCCCCTTGCGCGCGACCTAGGCTGCGTGCATGACTGGGATGCAGCCAAGCTGTTTACACCAGCTGTTGTTTTTCGTATAAACAGACGGGCAGACATAACAATAAAAGTGTTAGTTAAAGCAAATACAAGCAGAAGTACCCAGGCAACAGACACGTGAGGCCAGGCACATGTAGGTGCGTCCATCTGTCTGTACGTGTAGAGAAGCGCTGGCCCGGCCGAAGTGGCGCACAAACCTATTCTCAGAACAGTTTGGTCATTAAGCCTCTTATGACATCTACGGCTGCATCTATGCCCAGGCTGGGTCTCATTCTCCTCCACGAGCAGAATTTCTTGCAGCTCAAGGAGCGCCATTACTCGGTGACCAATATCATATGATATAGTATAGTATAATTTAATCGAATAGAATAGAATATAACATAACATAATATACTATAGTAAGATAAGTGTAAACGGACACAGCAGTGAGCCCCTGGGCAGGAGCAGCTCATCAACCAGCAGATTGAGGAGCGTCGCCCGAAGCTGCGAAGCTACTTCGACGTCGTCCCGGCATGTTGCGTGAAACCCTAGACGCTAAACGCCCCAACCGGCCTCGCTCGTGAGCCAGGACCTCATGGCCGGAGTCGAAAATAGCATGAACACGAAGAACAAGGACGACTCCGCATACGGCCTGCTCATACTTGGTAGCAGGAACCAGTGGCTCTAAGAATGGAAGTGAAGAAGCAGAGGAAGTAGTAGTCGTGGTGGTGGTGGTAGTGGTGGTGGCAGTGGTCATGGCATTGGTAGCGGTAGCAATAGCGGCAGGTAGTGGGTGTGTGGTGTGCATAGTAGTGGTCGTCGTGGTGGTGGTGGCAGTGCTAGTGCTGGTGCTAGTGGTAGTGATCGTGGTGGTTCTATCAGCACCACAAGTAGGAGGAGGAATAGCCGGAGTAGCAGCGGCCAGCAGGAAGTTCAGGGTGATGTCAGGGTGCTTCCTGGCTCCAGATCTGCTTGCAGGATCACTTCACGCGCAACTTATACAACTTTGCACAGGTTGTCGCTTGGCCTGGATGGTCGCACTTCTATCTAGTGCTTCAGGCTGTCAGTGCAGGGGCTGGAGGTTTCCACTGCGCATGCTAGACTCTATGGGAAATCGGCAGCCCACGGGTGTGCAGACAGCTTGTTAAGACGCTCCCTCCGAGCTCTTCCAATTGCTGCAGTCTGCGAGACCCCTATGCCCTAACTCTAAACCCTAAACCCTAAATCCCGGTTTCTGGATTGGTGAGCCGGAAAAAGGTGCTCCAAAAAAAAGAATACCGAAACCGCGCAAGCCCCTAAACGTCGAGGTTCGGACACTGTCGTAAGCGGCAGCGAAGTCCGGTGCTGCTCTCGGTTCCACAACTTTCGGGACAGAACGCATCCTGGATAATGTTCATATTATACACATATATATATATTATATATGTATATATATATATTAGGTATATATATATGTATAATATATATATATATGTATAATATATATATATATATGTATAATATATATATATATATGTATAATATCCAAAAATATGTACATGTGCCAAAGTGCATGGGCTCCCTTCTCCGACCCCTGGCAGAATCGAGCAATTCGGAAACCTGGTAGTCGCCACAGGTCGCCGCAGAGAGGCAGTGCATGCCTCTTGCAGCTCTCAGTCTCTAGAAAAGAAAAAGACGTCTGCTCTTAATTCTCTCAGCGCCTTTCGATTTCTCTTGCCTAGGTCCTAGGTCCGTTCAGCATCTGGAGTGACTACACAGGTCATGCAGGTTGTAGCATAAGTGGAAACGCTCTAAACTCTACACTCGGAGCCGTAAGACCTAAAGCCCTGCATCGTGAACCCCAAGACCCTACATCGCTAAACCGATTCGGGAGCGTATTGCAGGAGGCAGGCCGCGATCTGGGAACAGTCGTTTTCCATGCGGGCTGAAGTGCGTGGTTGAAGGTTTCGGGCTTAGTCCAGCAGGTTGTGGGGTAGGGGTTGAGCGCCTATTCTAGGGCGAGGCTTCATGTGTCCCCCAAGATACAGGCTAGAAGCTTCATAAACCCTAAACCCTAAACCCTAATGTGATTTACACGCTAGGTTCGCGTCTTCGCCCGCGGAATTCGAGGGTCGGCCATCCAATGCACACTGTTGCAGTGTTGCCACCGTCCCTAAACCGTTTACGCCCTACCTAAATCAGAAAAAGCCTACACTAAACGCCCGAAAAAGCCCGAAGCTGCAATCCTTACAAAAAGCTTAAACCCCAAGCCCTATAAAGCAAAGTGCACCGCTTGGGTGCTCTAGAGCACAAGATGAGCGACACTGCAGCCGCCTGGTCCGGGAAGCCTGCCGGAAGAAGATGCAAAGATATGTGTCTGTATGTATATATATATATATATGTATGTATATAGGTAGGTATGTATGTATGTATGTATGTATGTATGTATGTGTGTATATACATAACTACAAGAAAGGTTTTTTGGTTTTGGGTTTAAGGTTTCCAGGGCATTGGGTTAAAGGACGTATAGGGTTCATAGAGGTTTACGAAGAAGATAGGGACAGAAAAGGGTAGATAAGGTGACAAGACAGGAGTTTGGAGATGTTTGGGGTTTAGGGTTGGTGGTTTAGAGAGTTGGTTTGATGTAAGAAAGTGTTTGGATATGTCTACATCACGACATTCGGCTGGTGACTCCATTTTTAGTAAGAAGAGTAGCAATCATAATGGTAACAAGAGGAGCAGTTGCTTCCCGGACTAGGGTGGCGATCGTGACCCTGTAAGATGTACTCGGTACATAGTATGTAATGATTATATAGTTGGCCATAACTCTAAGAACAGTATACTGGCGTTATAAAAGTTATATAACAACTAAGCAGAACTATTCGTAATTTCACGTTGTGTAATATCGATACAACGACTGCATAGTGTGCCGAGTAGCACCCACAGCAGTGTCTATCATGACAAGTATAATTCACGGGCAGCCTCCCTAACCCCACCCCCGGACTGTTGCATTCGGAGCTTTGTAGGGTTCTGAGGGTTTGAAGTTTCATGGAGTGGTCTAGGGGTTGTATGGCTTTAGGGTCGGTTTATGTTTAGGGTTTAGCTGCCGACCGTAGCTGCGAGCTGAGAGGCCAAAAACCCGACCAACATAGAGAAAAGCTGCTTGTTCCAGGGCAACTCTGCGCGTCTCGAAATGGGCGTTGTTGCCTGGATTGCTGGGGATCGGTTCACGGGCGGATCTCCGGCAGTTGAGTGTGAGCGGTCCGGGTTTTAGGGTCTCGGGAGTGCGGTTCGGGGGCGAAGGATTTCGGATTGAGGGTTTAGGGTTCAGCGTCTAGGGTTTAGGGTTTAGAGTTGAGGGTTCAGGGTCCTGATTTTCGCACAGCAAGCTCCCAGCAGCGCAGGTCTGCAGGCACCTGGAGCGCCTCTTCCAACAGACGGCCTTGTGCCAAGATGGCTGTTGCAGTGTGATGGTTATGGGGCGCTAAGGCTGCATGAAAGGTTCCCTGCCCAAGTTGTTCTTGGTGGTGTGAGATTGCCCTAAGCCCTAAACCGTAAATCCGAAACCTGCAGCTATCGGGATGTCGGGATGCTGCGAGTTTCATCTCGACGTCCCATCCTCGCTCCAGGACTTCCTTCCTACTGGGGGAATCGAGTACCATAGCGGTCATGGGCTTGGGGGTTAGGGTTTAGGGTTACAGTGTAGATGTGCCACCTATATCATGCTCCTCTTCCTTCGGTTTTCTCTTCAATGATGTTGAAGGCCCTAAACCCTAAACCCTAAATACCCTAAACCCTAAAGACCCTAAATACACCGAAACCCCTAAAGGTATCCCTGGAGAGGACTGGCGAGGCGAAGGCGAGGAACATTCCAATCACTGCCTGGCGCGCTGAGTTAATGGGCCCAACTCTTTCGATGCGAAGATTTCGGTTTGGGGGTTTAGGGTTTAGGTTTTAGGGGTCTATGCCACTTCCTAAGCGGTTTGTCAAGTGCATCCTCATTTAGCTTCGGTCCCCCCGTCGCTGTTGCGGTTTGTGGTCGCAGTCGCCACCCACTCCGTCTTCGTCGTCCTTTCTTGTCGCTGTCGCTGCTCAGTAGCAACGATCATCCTGGAGTCTTAGGCACGTTTCGGAAACAATCTCATAACTACATGATATGTAACGAATATAGTAGCTGCATATAGCAACTAACATAAACAAACTAATGTAACAACTGTTATCCAGTAACTATTTTATATTTCTTAATATAGTAACTAATTTCGCAACTACTATAATAAGTACATAGGAACTAAAGCAGGCAAGTACATGGTAAAGTAGCTTCATGTTGCCAGATCGGGCAGCTTCTGGGCTTTGGCCGCGAGTTGGTGGAATCAACGATGACCGAATCTCAGCAGTCCTCTGCTGATGCTCTACTATATTAAGCTAGCAATGACCATTTCCATTTTCTAACCATGCACCCCCCCTAGCACCCCAAAACATAACAACTTATACCTCAACCCTCAACCCATCCAAGACCCATAGGTAGAACCCTAGGAATAGCTCACCT